CCTTCTCTCTCTCTCTCTCTCTCTCTCTCTCTCTCTCTCTCTTTCTTTCTCTCTTTCTTTCTTTTTTTCCAACTGTTTCTTCCTTCTCTCAATCTCCATGATCTTTTTTTTACTCTTAAGAAAGATAAATCGATGAAATTTTTTAATAACAAAAGTTGAGAAAATAAAAGTATGTAAAGTCGGTTCTACACACGCACACACACACTTTCACACACACACACATACAATACATACATTATACACACACACGCAAACACATATGGGTTTGAATATATATAGCATGTATATTTTATAAATTGTGTGTATGTCTTTTGTAAAAACATTTGTATACGTATGTTATGTTAATTTTGTCATGGATTATAAATTTACTTAAAAATCGTGTTAAAATGAACAATTTGTGAACGGTGGCCTGCGACACAAGAATTTTCTTTTCTTTTAACTTTAGTCTACTAATCATTACCTAATTATTATTAATTTGGATTGATTGAATAAAATTTGATTTGATTTGATTTGATTTTTGTATAAAAAAAGCAAACAAACAAATGAATGAATGAATGAAAAAATGAATGAATTGATGAATGCAAAATGATAATAAAACATTGCAAATAACAATTTTATTAATAAAAATCACAGACATGACATAATGAAATAAGTCCATAAAGAAAATGACCAATGGAACGACGACTGATTGATCGGGAAAGCGTTTAGAGTGAAAGAAAGAGAAAAACACACGCGTGAATGAATGAGAAAGAGATGTTGATAAATTAATGGCCGAGATGATTTATCGAATTGCAGACTTCATGTGTCAAAACACACATGCTAACATGCCCACAGAGAGAGGGAGAGAGAGAGAGAGAAAGAGAAGGAGAAAAAAAGGAAAAAGCGAAAGTCCATATAAATATAGTTACATAAAATAGAAATTATATAAAAATTTGTATAAGTCTAAAAGAATTTGTGTACATGCGTATATGCGGTGTGTATGTATGTATGTATGACTAAAGAAAATATGTTTGCTCGTCAAACCAAGCGACAAAATTTATGTTCTATAAAATTGAGATAAATTATAAAATCTAGCATAATTTATAATGAAGATATGTCGATAAAGTATGATATTAAGAGGACAGACTGTCAGGCATACATACATACATACATACATACGTACGTACGTACATACATACATACATACATACATACGTACGTACATACATACATACATACATACATACATACATACATACATACATACATACATACATACATTCATACATACTCATAAAAATGTATTATATCATAGGATAACGTCCTTTATAAGATTTCCATTTTTTTCATATTTTCTTATTCAATAGTTTGCCAAAATTTTTCATCTTTTTCAAGTTTTTCAGACTGTGTGTCTCAGTCAGTGAGTGCGTGTATGTGCGTTTGTTTGTATGTGTGTTTATGTATGTTGTATGCTTAAATGTTTTTTTTTGTTTGTATAGAGTTGTATTGTATTTAAAATTTACGAAGCGTCTCCGATGATTTGAATACGTGAATGTGTTTTGCATTTAGGTATGTGTGTGTGTGTGTGTTTGTGTGTGTGTATGTGTGTGTGTGTGTGTGTGTGTAGTGTACGTATGTCTATGTAAGGGTATGTGTGTATGTATGTATGTGTACGTATGTGTGTATGCCAAGTTGTGTGTATGTATGTATATGTGTATGTATGTATATATATATATATACATGTGTGTGTGTGTGTGTGTATGTATATGTAATGTGCATCTGTGTGTTTTTATCTGTATATAGACTTGAATTAACAGCTATAACAACATTATTAATATTACTGCTACCACTACCATTAGCAATAATAATAATAGTAATAATAATAACAATAATAATAGTAATAATAAAAAAAACAATAATATAGGTGATAATAACAACAATAATAAATTTTTGAAAAAAAAGAAAAAGCGGAGAAATGAAGAAGTAATGCTAGGCCGAATCGCATGACAGAACTAACAAAGCGGCAAATTTAATTCTAGAAAAACAAAGCACAAAAACAACAACAACAAGATACAACAACAACGAGATACAACAACAACAAGATACAACAACAACGAGATACAACAACAACAAGATATAACAACAACAATAAGATACAACAACAACGAGATACAACAACAACGAGATACAAAAATAACAAAATACAACAACAACAACGAGATACAAAAATAACAAAATACAACAACAAGATACAACAATAACAAAATACAACAACAACAATAATAACAACAACAATATACAACAACAAAAAAAGTATGGTAACAAAATAAATCAACAAACACTCAATCAAAAACAAAATAGAAAAAACGAAACTAATAAAAACCAGATTCAGACGGAAAAGTTTTTAATTCCGAAAAAAAACCAATGAATGCACGCAGATCGTCCCTTGCATTAGTGTACGTGTTCAAATAATATAGCATTGAGTTAAAATTTAAAGTTTAAAAAAACCTATAAAACACGAAACTACAAACAATACAATACAACTCAACACAACAGAATACAATACAATTCAATACAATATAATACAATACAATGCTATACAACCCAATAAAATGCAATTCAAAACAATACAACACATATATTTTTAAAAACAACTACAACACAATCAATACAAATATCTACTAGCACCGATCATTAAATACATTGTTCATAAAAAAAGCTCAATACACACATTTTCTTACGAGCATATACCTCGCAGCAGAGGTTAGCATGGGATCGGGAATCGAGCGAATCCAATGGTTCCCATGAGGGAATAGGGAATTGCTGTTC